CTCTCGAATAAGCATGTGAAAATTTTCTTATGCGCCCCATTTGAATAAGTGCCCCTCTGTGTTTATTCATTTTTCAAAACAATATATCTTGTGATTAATTTTCTTAGCAAACGATAACCTAATCCTGAGACATTTTCTTTTTTTATCTCAATTTCAAAATGAGGATATTTTATACTGGGCAGATGAGGGCTCCCTGGACAGTATCTTTCCAACTTTCCTCTTCTTACATTTATCTACTTCTCTTTTTCTTTTCCCAACCATTTGCACCTTTAGCATGTTTTTATGTGAGTTTGCAAGGAGCCCTGCAATGATCCCGCTAATCTCAATCGGCAGATGGCCAACAAGCTTACAACACCATTACCAATACCACTAATTTCATCTGCTGTTGAAACTCACAGAATTCTTGTCATGAGCCATGCTGTCTGGACGATTATCTTTTCTGCACCAGAACCATTTGTAATCTTCGGTTTTCGGATGTCCTTATATCATTTTTTTCATTCAAAAATCGCCCATTGAATTTTTCAAGTTCCCAGAAGAACCCCTCAATTTCATATATTTCCATAAGCGCCCCCTCAATTTCCACTCTGTTTTCATAAGCGCCTAGTTTGAATAAGCACCCACAAAAAAAGGGCAAAAAATATTTTATGCACCCGGCCGCATATTCGCAGTAAGATCATAATTTAATAAAAATATTAAACGAATAAATAATAACAAAAATAGATTTATTACTAGTAGGCCCTTGTCTGTTTCATTATCATTTTTATAATGTTCATTTCACTCACAAAAATAAAAAAACTGAATTCAGTATATTATAATAATTATGCGTTGGGTTATATTCTTAATAACAACACCATTTAGAATCTGAAAACAGAATATCTTCATTATACTTCCGAAGACCATTACGGCAAGCTTATCAGAGCGCTGTGCAAAATGTTCTCCCATCCGTTTGCAACAAAGCTTTTATTGATTGACATCATAATGCTTCTTACATACACAATAGGAATAATGTAATTTGCTTTAAATTTCAACTAATTCCAAATATTATTTTCAAAACAAAACACAACTATATCATCAAAGAGCTAAAATTACTATATTATGAATAACACCTAAATATAATTATTTACTTATTTATTTAATACAAATTTGACAAATATTTTTCTTTCTGACCAGGAGCATAGCATTGGCAGAATGACACTAAGAGGCCAACAATGAAATGGTCATCTGTCCCCTGGTCAGATACTTAGCTAAAACAATAATATACATTTCACCTATTATTAACTCTATTCCACAACATTACCAAAATATCTAACAGCATAAATCTGTTATATAAATAACTATGATGTAACTGTCATACATAAATATGAAGTTAATCTAATGAACTTCAAATAAGAAAAATAAGAATGTATTAGTGAATGTGTTGAAATGTCAAACTAGGTAAGCTATGCCAGCAATGCCACACAGTTTGACTCACAGACGTCATACGTCAGTAGACTATAGCTTCGACCTTTCAACTTGGCCAATTCTTTTATCTGATCCTGATGCATTATAAGTATGTAACATTGGCCAATCAAAATACTGTAATGAAAGGTTGTAAATTATAAATTACAAGGAATGGGGTTGTCATGGTCTAATTGTTAAGGTGCTTGACTTATTCAACTGTAAGATCATCTGTTCAAATCCCAGTGAAATACTAATTGTTTATATATAACCAATGAATACAAATCTTTCATTAAGCCGATATAAAACCCCCATATATCTCATCCAAGGTTTTTGATTCCCACCAGACAAAATTAGACATGAAGTATGCTAAAAGGTACAAGTATTTCCCAAGACATACATTCCTACCTAAATAGCTGTCATCTTGACATGGTGTATCAAAATGCTAATTAAAAAGAGATAGAGAGAAGACAGGGGCGGATACAGCCCCGCAAGAAGGACATGAATGTATGAACTGAGTAATATTCTGATAATTACATTTATTCAGAAAAAATCCACAACAAATTACAAATTGCAAATTATTTACATAGGCATCAAAAGAAGCGGTGGCTTGTCAGTTTGAATACCAAACATACAAAACATACACGCACAGAATACGTAGTAAACACATCAACATTTTAATTTTTAAATTTGGGATCGCCCACAATTGCCAGCACCTCCAGGAAGGGGAAATGCCTCAGTGATCATCACGTCATAGTAATAATACCGTGCGCCTCAGACACCAAGACATCTCTGACAGTGTACTGCCCCGGAAAGTGCCAGCGATCATAGACGACTCCCAAGAAAAGTTTTCCTTAATAAGTATTTAAAATCATCTCTTTCAATTCATTTTTGATCGAATTTTGCGAATTTATTTTTAAAAGGCTATCATATAGCTCATTCCAGATATTTGGTCCGTGAATAAAAATAGATCTGTGACAGGATGTCAGTCTTGAAAAAGGTACATACATTT